TCCTGTCTACCACCGACTGACTGAGGTGGGAATGCGGCGGTGGTGTTTAGGTAACTGTACAGCGCCGGCAGCCGATCCCACGGCGGCCGATGAACAAAGCGGCGCACTGTGAGGCAGCACGCCACGCGCGGGGACGAGTCGACGCGGGCGGACGCTCCCTAAAGCCACCGCTTCCGCTCGGAGCGCTCGGCTACGCCCGCGCCGCTCCGGTCGCATGAATCGTCCGCTTCGGTCACATGCTTAAGCCGTGCACCTCGACCTCCTGCTCAACTCTCTGCACTCTGCTGCGCTCGCTTCGGCAGTCCACTTGGACTGTCCGCCTCGACGTCCCCCTGCTGTCGTCCGCCCCGATTGGCCGCCCAGGCCTTCGGCCATCCCACCGAGCGCAACGAACAGAGCGTTCACTCCGGCCGTCCGCTTCGAGTGAGCGCACCTCGTCCGCATACTCACCGCGCGACCTCCGCCACAGTCAGCCGTCAGTCTACGGGGCGGACCCTGTCGCTTGACACGACGGGCGTTTAGACCCGGCGCTCAGGGCCGGTGTCCAGCCGCTCAGCACGACACGGCGTCAGGGCCGGTGTCCAGCGGCTCAGCGTGACGCGGCGCTCAGGGCCGGTGTCCAGCCGCTCAGCACGACACGGCACTCAAGGCCGGTGTCCAGCGGCTCAGCACGACACGGCACTCAGGGTCGGTGTCCAGCCGCTCAGCACGACACGGCGCTCAGGGCCGGTGTCCAACCACTCAGCATGACACGGCGTTCAGGGCCGGTGTCAGCAGCCGCTCAGCACGACACGCGGAGACCCACCGATCGCCGGCCGGGGCAGCAGATCGACACAGAGCCGCTGCCGCCGACACGCGGAGACCCACCGATCGTCGGCCGGGGCAGCAGATCGACACAGGGCCGCTGCCGCCGACACGCAGTCTGTCCTTTCACCCGACGCCGCAGTCCATGTCTGTGCCCCGGCGACGGTCGCCGCGCCGTCCGCCGGCCCGTGGCGGCCCGCTGGTGTCGCTTTCCGGGCGCGCAGCCGGAATCGATCGTCATGATCGAATCGGAATCCCTCGCCGGAATCGATCGCACACCGCCGGACCCGCGTCCAGGGGAGCAGGGGAGCAGGGGGCAGCAAGCCACACCGGTGCGTCATAGTCCGGCCCTGGCGGGCGGCGCTGTCCCACGGCCCCGCCCTGTGACCGGCGCAGCTCGACACGCGACTCGGCTCGCCGGCACGGAGGTGACCGCACGCGGCCGGCGCCGCGGTCGGGCCGCCCGGCCGTGCGCGCCGAGCCGGCCGCCGCGGGTCCAGCGACCTTGTCGGCGGCGCGGGCCGCCAGATTCCTGAGCGGCACCGGAGCCAGGCGGCTCGTGTAATGATGGGACCCTCCCCCGCGCCGCAGCTTAGATGGAAGCCACTTCCGGACGGCCGCACGACTTGTTATGGAGCGGCGCGACCCCGCCGGCGGCCGAGCGACCAGAACGACGGGAGACAGATGGAGAGCAGGCGCCGACCGCAAAGACATTCGACGGATGCGTCTCTGTTGCGTAATGCATGCTTCAGTGTACATGAATCGACAAGTGGTGTGGGTCGTAGTCGAAGAAGATCGGAAACGCGCAAACATCTAGCAAGCGAATCATCAGAGGACGCTTGAATGGTTTGAAGGAGCTTCGGCGGTCTGAACAGAACGATGAAGGCATCATCAATAATAATATAGCCATATGGCGTTAACGCTTCAAGAATGTTTACTGTGAGGTATTTTTTAATAATTTAAAAGTCAACGAAGAAGATTAGGCATGCGAGGCAGACTCTTCCCATGAATATGTTAAATCGTCCTTAATTCGATCCAGCGCGATCTCGTGACTATTATCTGTTTCCCGGTCCCCCTCCCGCCCGCTCTATCCTGTCTCTCCTTTGTAACGGCTGCTCCCCAGACCCGGCGCGCCCTTTCCCAGCCTATTATGCCATTCAGAGAGAAGGAAATAACCGATTGCCGGGAGCGTCCAACGGGAGCGTCACTGCCGACATCCCGTTACCGCTCCGGTATCCGATGAATGACGAGCAATCAGCCACAACAATGCGACGGTGGGTCCCCGGCGAGCTGCTGGCGGCACTCAGCTGGCGGCCACGCCTCACCGGCGCGTGTCGTGCCGTCAGACGAACCGACGCCTGCCTGATGACGGTCTGCAAGGCGGATCTCCGCCCTCCGGGGTCTGAGATCTTAGGCCCGTGGTCCGAGGTCAGGGGCACGGGTCTGAGGTCTGAGGTCTGAGGTCTGAGGTGTGCGGTCCGAGGTCCGGGATCTGAAGTCCGAGGTATGAGGTCCGAGGTATGGGGTCCAGGGTCCGGGGTCCGGGGCAAGTGTCTGAGGTCTTAGGTCTGTGGTCCGGGGTCCGAGGTCTAAGGTCTTAGGTCGGGATTCCGGGCTCAGGTGTCCGGGTCCGAGGTCTGGGGTCTGAGGTCTGAGGTCCGAGATCCGGGGTCCGGTCCTCGGGACACGGGTCTGAGGTCTTAGATCCGGGGCCCGGGGTCCGTGGTCCGTGGTCTAAGGTGGCCCGGGGTCCGGAGTCTGGGGCGCGGGTCTAGGGTCTTAAGTCCGGGTCTGGGGTCTGGGGTCTGGGGTCTGGGGTCTGGGGTCCGGGGTCCGGGGTCCGGGGTCCGGGATCCAGGGTTCCGGGGTCCGAGGTCCCATATATGAGGTCCGGGGTCCGGGGCATGGGTCTGAGGTCTTAGGTCCGGGGTCTTAGGTCCGGGGTCCGGGGTCCGGGGTCCGGGATCCAGGGTCCGGGGTCCGAGGTCCGATGCATAAGGACCGGGGTCCGGGGCAGGGGTCTGAGGTCTTAGGTCCGGGGTCTTAGGTCCGGGGTCCGGGGTCCGCCGGCCGGTTCCGCGGCGACTTCGCGGCGCTCGCACGTCGGGCGCCGTCCCCACGCCGCCACCGCCACCCCAATGGAAAGGTCCGTAATTGCCGTGTTTTTGGCCACGGGTCATTAGATGTGATTGTGCCGGTCCGCAGCCGCGCGGCCGCCGCCAGCAGAGGGTGCGCGTGCGCGCCACGGCGCCGCGCCGCTCCTCGCCGCTTTCCAGTCGCGTACGCTGACACAATGCTTTAGACACTAAAACAATCGTCGGCCGCCTAGACAATGATCCGGAGAGCGGGCCGTCGACGGGCGACCATCGCTCCGGACCGTCTGCCGACCAGTGCGCGATGTCCAGCCCGGTCCTGTCCGGTCACGCATGATGTGGTCTGGTCACGTCAGGTCTGGTCTGGTCTATGACCTGGTCCGGTCTGGTCTGGTATATGACCTGGTCCAGCCTGGTGTATCCGGTCCTGCTCGGTTCGATCCGGTCTAGTTTGGTCTGATCTGGTCTGTAGCCTGGTCTGGTCTGGTGTGGTCTGGTCTGGTCTGGTGTGGTCTGGTCTGGACTGGTTCGGTCCGTTCTGCTACGCTCTGGTCTGGCCCGGTCAGGTATGGTCTCATCCGGTCCGGTCTGGCATGGCCCGGTCCAGTCTGTTCTGGTGTGGTCTGGTCTGGTCCGATGTAGCCCGGTCAGGTCCAGTCCGGCCTAGTCCGGCAGCCGGCCCGAGAACGACAGGCGAGCGGCGGCCGGCTGCACCGACTGGCTGGCGGAGCGCTGAGCGAGCGCGGCCCCCAATCCCAGGCTCGGGCGGACCGTGCGAAAGCCGACCAGGACGCAGCGAGCCGCGCGCGGCGCTGCGTCAGGCCCCGGCCTCCTCCGAACCTCGGAGCTGACGAGACTGGCCGCCCCAACGGTCCTATTAGCAGCTCGCGCCCCCAGCGCTGCCGAGCATATCACGGCTGACGGTCCTCGGGCCGTGCGCGTGCCGCCGGCCGTCGCCCGCAGTACAATGGCTCAGGAGCAGGCGGTGAGCCGGGGAGCGCGCCGCAGAACGAGCGCCGGGGCCGGATAACGGGTCGACTGTCCCGCCCGGAGACGTTTCCGGCGGCCAGGTGCGATTAGTAGCGCGCGCCGGCCGGAAGTCGGACGGTTTTTAGGCGACCGTCGCATTCCCCCTGCGTTTCTGGGACGGTCGTGGTGGGGCGTCCCGTGCGTGCGCCAGATGATCAGGCGAACAACGTCCACGGCTGCGCGGGGAACAATGGCCGCCGCGACGGGCGCCCGACCTATCTGTGTGAGAGGGGCGCGCGGCTGGGCTCCGCGGCGCCGCGACCGCTCACGGTGTGCGGCTGGGGCTGAGCTGCGCCGGGCTGAGCTGCGACGGGCGCCCGACCTATCTGTGTGAGAGGGGCGGGCGGCTGCGCTCCGCGGCGCCGCGACCGCTCACGGAGTGCGGCTGGGGCTGACCTGCGCCGGGCGAACCGCTCAGCCGTCAACAATCGTGCCGTTTCTGAGAGACGATGTAACATATATGGTGCTGTGCAGTACGAGCCACCGGGGAAAAAGGCGAGGGGGTAGGATCCATGTTGGAGGTATGATGTGATCGTGACTGGATTATTCCGTTACGTGCGCAATACACCGATCGTTGCATCAAAATTGACGTTCGTGATGGTGTAAGCCGTTTAATAAGACCGTTCCCATTGTATTAATTCAAACGGAACTGACAAAACAATGATTTTCAACGGAAAGGACGAGATCCGCACCGTGTCTTCAAACGCCATGTGCGACGTTGCGTGTTGAGCAGAGCCCGTTTGCGATCGGCGATTTCTAGGTCAAGCCGTGGCGCTTGATCGATGGCTCGTAACCTTGCGTCTCGTAAGGGGAGTGTCCGGGCCGCCTCCATCGGCGTCCGCCCCCGCAGTGCGGCTCTGATGGACGCTGCCGCCGGGGCCGTGTGACCCGGCGGCCCCAGCCCGCCCGCTCCCTCTCCATCTCAGAACAGCCGCGCCGCCTCGCCTCTCGCCTCTCGGTCAGACCCGAGTGACCGCGCGCACAGCGACGGCCCGCTTCCGTCGGCCGCTCGCCCGGTCATACACACGGTCACAGCGGGCGACGCGGCGCTAGCTGGCTGCTGGACCCACTTACCCAGCGTGGCGTTCAGCCAGTCGGTGACGTCTTCCTTGAGCGGCAGCAGGTGGCGCTCCTGGGCGTCGGCGATCTTCTGCTGCAGGTAGCGCACGTACTCGACTTCGGTCTCCGGCGGCCGCTCGCGCTCCTCGGGCGCGTCCAGCAGCGTGCCCCAACTCCTGCAGCGCTGCCGACGCATCATGCCGCCGCCTGCGGGCCCGGCGCTGGGTCAGTATTGCCCTGGCCCAGGTCAGCAGGGGCCAGGGTTGGGTCAGCAGGGGTCTTTGATTGCGCCGGTTGAAGAGTCCACGCCGGATCAGCAGACACCCAGATCTGGATTACCGCTGGACCCAGGGCCGTGACAGCGGGGGCCTAGGGCCAGGTCAGCGCGGGCCCACGGCCAGGTCAGCGCGAGCCCAGGGCCAGGTCAGCGCAGGCCCCGGGCCAGGTCAGACAGGGCAAAGAGTCGGGTCAGCAGACGTCAGAAGCGGGTCAGGGCCGGCCTGGGTCGACTGGTGCGCCTCGCTCTGCCCCTCCCCCTCGCATCGGCACACTCTGGAAACGCACAGAGCGGCCCACGCACAGCCGGCCGCGCCGAGACCGCCCGGCGGCGGCGGCGGCTGCTGCTGCTGCGGTGGCGGCGGCGACAGGGCGGCGGTCGTGTGGAAAACAAGCGGCGGGAGCCTCCAGAGCGGCGGGAGCGCCGGCCCACGCGCCCGATGCGCGGCGCCAGCCCGGCGTGGCCAGCCGTGACGGTCGAGGTAATTAAGTAAGTCAGGGCGAGCGTCACGAGCGGCGGCAGGCACATCTGGCGAGCCCGAGCAGGCGACGACAGGTGCGGCACCCCTGGAATCCCGCCCACGCCGCGGCCGCAGCCCGACGCGGCATCTGGTGCCCCGGCGGCGGCGGCAGGTGTGCCACCCCTGGAATCCCACCACTCGGCGGTGGGCAAGCCGGGGTTTAATGACAAACGACTTTCGCGGTGATTTGATCGAGTGGTTGACATGAGCGCTGAATAGTAGACGGGGTGAGAGTCGCCCTAAACGGGGCTCGCTGCGTGGAACCGAGCTGTTCATCTGTCTCGACTGGTGACAGATGCCTCCCCATTCAGCCAACAGCACAATGACGCTGAAAAACCCGTCGTGGACCATCTCGACGCGGCAGCGAGCTCAGCCAGCAGCACCTGCCGCGGAGGCCCCCGCCGGCAAGCCAACACCCTCCGCTCGCTGAGCTGGAAGTAGTTCTCCATCGTCTGCTGCGGCCAGCACAAACTCAGCACTCCACTTAATTGCATTGCAACAATTTAGGGTGTGAGGGACCTTTAATGCTCGCGGGGCATCACGACAGGTCACTGCGCTCTCACTGGCATCCAGCCCCGGAAAATACATTTGCCGGAATCTGCGCCTCACGATTTGTAGGAAGCCTGGTGCCTCTTCAGCAGAGTCGTCCGACGCGCTCAGTGGCTGCGGTATCTCCGGCGGAGGGAGTGCTCACTGTGCATGAGGCACGTCACGTCCCCAGCGGTGAACCACTCGATATGCATGAAGTCTGGCACTTCCTCTCCGGCACAGGAGTCACGTGCGCGCCGGCGGTTGACCGCTTGCTGAGGCCCGGTGTAACCTCCTCGGCAGGGGAGAAGCCTGCTACGTTCGGGGCACGGCACCTCCTCTGCAAAGGAACGTCTCGCCGTGCATCGAGTACAGTATCTTCCCAGCTGAGGTGCCTGCCGTTCGCCGTGTGTGGGGAACGGGAGGTCTCCAGAGGAGAAACCATTCACTGCACGTGATGTACGGCACCTCCCGGACTCTCACTGCGTGCGGAGCCGGACCTCCCGCTCGGACAGAGCGGGGGCGATAAATTAGAGGGCCCGCTCCGTCTCTGGCAGACGCCACCCAGTCAAAACAGCCATAACGGGCACCGGTGCCGCTTCCAAGGACGAGCTGTAAAAACGGCCAGACCTCTAACCCGTGGAACCTGAGTGGTGGCGCTGAAACGAGGTGCAGTAGGAGTCTTATCAGTCCAACGTTCGGCACGCTTCACGCACGACAAACTATTTTAACTTCCCCCCCCCCCCCCCCTTTATCCATCCCTAAAATATCTTTCAGCGATGCCTGTATGGATGGTGCCCACAATAAAATCATGCACGTCTGGTGAAGGCGTGCCAAATGGGTCATCGTCACCACGCCTGTAAAATCTGAATATCTGGCCATTCAAATGAATGCAACTGGGACATCTCGATGCGTCATGCCATTTACCGGCACAATTTTAAGAGTATCGCTCACGCCCTCGTGCCAGTCAATTCGATAGACCTTGGGCGTGTTCTGAAGAATATCGGCCGTTCTATTCTGGGTCGGCCCACACCGCGTCCATTGGTGGCAACCAAAGAGCACCTGTGTAGTGTGTGTCCAGGTTTGCTGTCACGCCGGCTGCACACCAGGCGCGGAGGAGGCAATATGGATATGGAGGTGCTACGGAGGTGTGTAGTGTGTGCCAAACCTGGACACACACTACGCACCTGTGTAGTGTGTGTCCAGGTTTGCTGTCACGCCGGCTGCACATCAGGCGCGGTTTTCACCATGATTAGCTGTTGAGCTCCAACAAAGCACGTTTGGCAACGCAGTGTTTTCGTGGCCATTGCGACACGAACACGCAGTTTCTTGCCACGCACTCACTATTAAAAGCTCCGTCCGGTAATGCACCCCACATTGCATGCAAAACAGCGGTGCCAAGGCAGCTGTTAACTACCCCGCGCCGGGCAGCTCAGCGTTCGGGGGTGATTGCGCCCCCCCCCCCTCATGCACCGCCCCGGGGAGTCTGGCGCCCGCACGGCGCGACATGCGCATCGATCCCCTCTTCAGGGGAGCGGCACCCAGTTTCAGCACCACCTCGGCACCTCGGCCATTGATCCGGCCGGGCGGGGCGGTGCCGGCGGCGGCACCAGGTGCGCAGTGCCGGACACGTCGCGCCGCCCACCCGAGCAGGACAACCCAGGGCCCGGCGTGGCGGCCATGGCTCCGGCAAGGTGCTCGGTGTCTCGAGAGGGACTTCGGTGCACGTGCGGATGCCTTACGTGGCCGCCGGGCATCGTGGAGAGAGAGGGAGAGAGATATGGAGAGAGAGAGAGAGAGGGAGAGAGAGAGAGAGAGAGAGAGAGAGAGAGAGAGAGAGGAGAGAGAGAGAGAGAGAGAGAGAGAGAGAGAAGAGAGAGAGAGAGAGAGAGAGAGAGAGAGAGAAGAGAGAGAGAGAGGAGAGAGAGAGAGAGAGGAGAGAGAGAGAGAGAGAGAGAGAGAGAGAGAGAGAGAGAGAGAAGAGAGAGAGAGAGAGAGAGAGAGGAGAGAGAGAGAGAGAGAAGAGAGAGAGAGAGAGAGAGAGAGAGAGAGAGAAGAGAGAGAGAGAGAGAGAGAGAGAGAGAGAGAGAGAGAGAGAGAGAGAGAGAGAGAGAGAGAGAGAGAGAGGAGAGAGAGAGAGAGAGAGAGAGAGAGAGAGAGAGAGAGAGAGAGAGGAGAGAGAGAGGAGAGAGAGAGAGAGAGAGAGAGAGAGAGCACCGAGAATACCTTCGAATGAACTTCAATTTAAGTGAACCTGTATTCATTACATTTGCCCTATGATGTCAACAACAGCGGTGCAAAGTGATCGTGTATTTTAGTGCGCCTACAGGCCAAAATGAAAAGAAATAACTTGCCTATGCCTATGGCCCGGTAGTTTCCCAGCGACCTAAGCAACTTTCTCGACGTCTCGCACAGTCATTGCAGAGTGGTCCCGCCTCGCACAGCTATTGCGGGGCGGTCTCATCTCGCACAGCTATTGCAGGCGGTCCCGTGGCAGACAACGGCAGTCGACTGCCGTCGCTCGGCCTGAGGCGGAACACCTGTGCCGGAGGAGGCGCCTGGGCCGCCACGTCCGGCGCGCGGCGCGCCGAGAGTGACCGTCCGTCGCCGTCACGAGCCCGGCGTCACGGCCCCGAGGGCGTCACGAGTCGGCGTGACGCCACCTCTGCGGCTGACGAGGCGCGGCGCCCTCTAGCGACGCCCGGGGCGGGGTCGGCGGGGTCATCGTCGCCACGTGTGCCGCTCCGGCTTCCCGGCGGCGGCGGTGGCGGTGCCGGCGTCTGCACGCTGCACAGGCCGGTGCAGGCTCCGGCGACGCAGAGCGCCGCCACGCAGCGGCCGGGAGGCCACGCCGGCACCGGCGGTGCGACCATTCAGACACGAACGGGCGCCGGCTGCCCAGCCAGGCGCCGCCCGTAAAGCAGACGCGCCTTTGCATGCGTCGGTGGCGGCGGCCGTGATCAATAGCCCCGCTGCGGGGGCCGGCCGGCCGGTCGGTAATCAGCTGACGGGCGAGATCAGCTGACTGCGGCCGGGCTCAGCTGGACATCATCCCCAGGTGATTCGGGAGGAGATCGGACGCGGATTCAGCCGCCATCCAAACACGTTTCATGCCGGGCCGGCGCGATCAGATACGCCGCTGGCAGAAACGCCGCCCGATCTAAATAAATTAGCATATCGTCGATGGAAATCACCGGACGTGAAGTGGTCAATAGCGCACGGCCGGCGCGTCGGGAGGAGGTAATATGCTGTCGGTCGCGGCGATGCGAGCACGACAGTCTTGTTTTCGCCGAACGATGGGCCTCGACCACGCCCGCGTCGCTGCGCCATCAGAGAAAATTGGATGGTGCAGCGCTGCATCGGCCTGATTACTGAGCCGCACAAGAGCCAGGTCCGGCGGAGCGGCGATCCATCCGAGCTGTCGCCGGGTTACGGAACCGACTGAGAGCTGACAGACACGTGCTCCTCTCGGGGAGGCCAAGTCCGGTGGAGCGGCATCCATCCGAACTGTCCCTGGATGTACGGAGCCGACTGAGAGCTGACAGACACGTGCTTCACTCAGGTCCGGCGGAGCGACGGTCCATCCGAACTGTCTCCGGATGTACGGAGCCGACTGAGAGCTGACAGACACGTGCTTCACTCAGGTTCGGCGGAGCGGCGGTCCATCCGAACTGTCCCCAGATGTACAGAACCAGCTGAGAGCTGACAGAGACGCGCTCTTCTCAGAGATGGCGGGCGCGGCGTCGCGATTAAAGCTGTTGGCAGACCGGACGGACCGGTGAAAACCCTGGGCGAGGGAGGTGGCATCCATTGGTGGCAGCGTGTCAGGAGAGCATACCGCGGAGGAAACATCCTCAATCCAAGCCTCCGTTTTCGACTCAG